TGCTATTGACCCCAAAAAAGCACCTTTAAGTACTTTTTACAAACGCTACGCACCCTGGTTATGTTTAAGAATAATATATTGAAGCAAGAATAAGATTTGTTTAAGAATATATTGAAAGAAATGTTGTATGATCCATTGTTTAAAAAATCATTTCATTCTGCCAGATAATTGGGTTTCTTTGTATAAAGATGATTTGTAAATAGCATAATGATGTTTCGATACATTATGAAACTTATTTTCACAAATCACCATGAAATGTCGCACAACACGTTCATCAATTACGAGAAGCTACATTTATCACCAAATACTGCTACTATGATTTCTTACTTATAACTGATACGATGATCTCCTTTTAAACAGAGTTTCGTTACTCCCTTAATACTATACTGAAATGGTGGCCTAAAAACTTACAAGATAAAATATTCAATTTCATTAACTCAAAATTTTAAAGATAACTTTATAGTTATATTGATGTTACGGTTCTCTTACTTTTTTTAAAGACCATATGAATCCTGATAAAATATTAAAACGCATATGTTTACTTATAAGAGCGTAAAATCCTCATCAAAATAACGATCAAGACCCCAATTGTAAAACAGTATAATTGATGATAAAACCTTCACTGGCTTTAAAAAATACGAGGGAAATAAAAGTAGACACATTTCGAGAGTTCAAATATAAGCGCCCGTTCTCCAGACTCGTCAGGCGTGAAAGACTTAACGTTAATTATTGGACACTCTAAACATGTCTACTTGTATTATCATCTATTATTTTTTTTAAACAATTAAGTTCCCTTTCGCTTAAGTTTCTTGGTATTATTAATTTAGTAACGCAGTATATCAAATTACTTCAACGATATTAAAATAAGTTTTACATAAGATTGAAAAAATAATAATTAGTTACTACTACTTTCTAAAAAAAAAAAAAAATCAATGCAGCAAATTTTTTTTTTACTGTAGGGGTTAATAAAATTTTTTAAGGCCACATAAAAATTCCGTTTACAATTTAAATTTTATAAAGTCGAATGTGAAAATGGACTGTCTCCTAGCACCAGGAATCAAAATTAAATAGTTAAAAGGACAGCTACTTCGAACAAGTTAGCGTTTCCTTCCTAAGCGAAGTTGTTTGAAAATGTATTTTATATTTAGCGATTCCAAAGTTTATTCTACATATATTTTAGGGTATACTTTAGACTATACTCTAGTTTTAGCTTTCAAGGAATATGTTTTGTCCAAACAGATTTCAATTCTGTAAATAACGAAATTATTGATTAGGTTCCTTGGATGAATATTCTTATGACAAAATACAGGTTTTGTAAAAAGTATGCTAAACATCTCACTCGAAAAACGCATATTTTTTTTATTATATACTACATTTCAAATCAGATAATGATTCTAAAATTGGTTTTGGGATCTTTTTTCAAATTCCAATATTTGCTGTTTAAAAAATAACTAATTATGATACTTGGGAATTGTGATGAAGCTATAAAATACTTAAAATTAAAACTTTCAAAATTTTTTTTTAAAAAGACAGCCTTCTTAAAATTAAGGGTGTAATACATAAGTTTAAATGCTAAAATAAAATTACAGTTTAAATTTGTTCACCTAATAAAAAGCAAACAGTTCTGGTTTTTTTTTAGTTGTACTAATGTGCTCATAAACCAAATAAGAAACACAAACAGTACCGCAAATAAATAATTTGCTCAAGTTTGGAGAAAAGGGTGCACTTATTTATTACAATTAGTCAGACACTTTGCACTAAGTAATTTTGCACAGTTGTAAAATTTATTTGTCCAAAAATAATTAAAAGCCTAAAATAACCTCTATTAAATATCTTTTTAAAATTATTTTATTTAAAAATAGTTGAAAAAATTTTGAACTGTATACAATTTTAGGCATCATTTTAAAAAATATAATTTGTACATAGCAAAATGGGTCGAACAGTTACTGAGAAATTGAATTTTAAATATCTAACTTTCTTAGATCAAGATTTTTCAGAAACTATTCAACCGAGTTTGCTCAAATTTGGTATTTATTGAAATATTATGTTCTTTAAAATGATACGAAAAATTGTACACCGTAGAATAGAAATTATTTTTGGCCACCATTAAATAATTATTATTTTTTTTTTTTTTAAAAATAATAATTACTATGTTATTTTTTGCAAGGAATAATCTCTGGATAAACTAACTTTATAATTACGAACAAAGATTTTTCAATTTGCATAAAAAGTTTGAGATATAGCGAAATATGCAAAAATAAACATCGAAACATTATGTATTATACTTACTCATAATTTCGAATGTTAAAAAGCATTTAATTCATCAAAGATAGTTAAATTTTTCTTAAATTTAAAATGAGATTTTAGAAAAGTTTTAAACTGATTTCTATAAATGAGGTTAAATTGATTATGTATAAGTAATACTTATTTAATTATTCAAGCAATAATCTAAACAAATTCTATTTCAATAAGGATTTTTTAGGAAACTTACTAAAATTTAGGGAATTTTCTAAAATGTACAAAAACCAGGAGAGTTTTAATTAAACCAGCAGAAACTGGCAAAATCCAGTAGAGTTGGCAGCAATGAATTAAGGCAATTTTAAACTACAGTTTAAAAAGTGTTCAACATAAGAAAAAAAATAATAAATAAAGTGACAACGCATGGATACACTTTATTTTGAAAACGAACACAAACCAAGAAAAATCACACAGAAAAATAAAAAAAAAGATTTACAATTGCAAAGCTTAAGCAATTAAAATTCATCAAATGTTGAAATTTCAAAAAATGTAACATTAAAATTAAAGTTTAATTAGAATGATGACAATTTGAATCTTCAGATGACAATTATGAAAAATTAAAAATTCATAATAACAAGCAACCAATAGCCTCCATGGTAGAATCGTGGCAACAGGAATAAGCAAAAATGTTATTTTTTACCTGCAGAATTTTGAAAATCTTTTTTCTGCAGTGCTTTATTTTTCCTTTTGAGCAGAATTATTTTCAAAAAATTCCTTTCTCGCATTTCAGAGATGGAAAAAACGCTAGTGATTTCTTTTTTAACTTTGCTTTGAGAATAAAAAAAAAATTCCACAATGACTGATATTATAAAAAGTAATTTCCAAATCGATACAATTTTGAAAAGTTAACTACGCAATTTATTTAGAACTGGAGAATATTGCTAATATCAGAATATGTACACTAAAAAAAAAATAAAAAAAAAAGAAAGAAAAAGATTTTTACATTTATAATTAAAAATTATATACTGTTCTACTCTGGACATGAAGGCTTTTATTAATTTTGTAAACCGGAAACACTTCTGTTACTTGAAATAAGTAATATGCATTATATATATATATACACAGTTTATTAGATTCGTTATACTATTAATTATTTTCAGAAAGGTATTAGTACTAGAGAGAAATGTTGCAGAAAGATCAAAAAAATTCTGCCACAGGACCAATAGCTATAAAAAAATTATAGTTAAAAGTGAAGGATCTTGCTCTACTAGATTTAAAATAAAATATGTTTGAATGAAATAAAAAAAAAATTAACATTTTTAAACTTTGATGAAAGTGAAATTTATTTTACATCTATATTTTCTCTAAACTCACCTTACATGCCTATGTTAAGAATCTAAACTTTTCACCACAGATTTACATATTTATTTCAAACATTAAAATATCATTTGAGTAAGTAAAAGTTTTGAGACACGAATTGAGTTGGATCTAATTTTAATAAATAATGCTATTGACACACAATAAAATTCATTTGTTGTTAAACTATACAGCTGACCTTTTTCAGCAAAATACAAAGAAATTCCTTATATTTCAGCAAAATGCAATTTCTTACAATAACAGTGTACATACAATAAAAGACAGGAAATATTTTATAATGATCTTTTGTATCATCTTTTTCAGTAAATTAAATAAACAGTCTGGTGAATTTTAAAATAGCATTGCAGAAGAAGACATTAAAATCTTTGTTCCCAACCACTTCTAGATCTGGAAAAAAAAATAAATAAATAGAAAAAATTAATAATAATAAATAAATAAATAACAAAACATAAGTAAAACCACCTTAAATAAACAAAAAGGAAGATACACCATTACAAAAACTTAAGTTCAGTATGTAGAATTTTAATTTTGAAAGCTTACCCAATAAATTTAATATTTTATAAATAGGAAAACAAACTATAATTTCTACACTGAATTTTACATAAACACAAAATATCTTGACCCTTAGGTTGACTTATTTGCATACATTAAATTATCAACATTCCTTGGAAGATATCTCGCTGGATGAGGTACAGAATGCCCTGAGGGCCACAAAACCAAAGAAGTCAGCAGGGAGAGATGGAATCATGGCAGAGATGCTTAAGGCAGATTTTGAAGCCGCTACAAGACAGTTGCAAAAGCTCTTCAATGATGTCTGGAGAAATGAAAGAATACCAGAACAATGGAAAGAAGCAGTAATAGTGAAAATTCCCAAGAAAGACGATCTAACAAAATGTGAAAATTGGAGGGGCATTAGCCTACTTTCCATACAGGGAAAAATATTTGGAAGGATAATTTTGAATAGACTAAAACATGAAATTTATGGAATTTTAAGAGAAGAACAAGCAGGTTTCCGCAGTGGAAATGGAACAATGCAGCAAATATTCACACTTAGAAATATCATTGAGCAAAGCTTAGAATTTAAACTTTATTGATTTCAGTAAAGCCTTTGATTCAGTTAAGAGAGAGAAATTATGGGAAATTTTATCACTTTATAATATACCAGAGAAATATATTAACATAATCAAAGATATGTATGATAACAGCAAAGCATGTTTAGAAGCAAATGGAGAATTAACTGAATTCTTTTTGGTAAAAACTGGTGTGAGACAGGGATGTGTTTTATCAGGATTTTTATTTATACTGGTGATAGACTGGATTATGCAAAACATTTTGAAAGATGAAAAAAGAGGAATAAGGTGGAATTTCACAACTACTTTAGAAGACCTTGATTTTGCTGATGACATCGTACTTCTCATTCAAATGTACAGACCATCAGCTTAAAACATACAAATTCAACAAATATTCAAATAGTTTAGGTTTATTCATAAACAAGAAGAAAACTAAAGTAATGAGAATAAATCGAAAGAAAAATGACAAAATTTAAATCGAAAATCACGAAATAGATGACATAGAGTCATTTAGCTATTTAGGTTCTATTGTAGATAAAAAAAGGTGGAAGTAGTGAAGATATTAGACAGAGAATAATTAAAGCAAGAACATGTTTCAAGGGATTACATAAATTTTGGAGAGAGTCAAATATTGAAATAAAGGCAAAAATAGTTTTTTACAAAGCTATTGTTAGAGCAGTACTATTATATGGCACAGAAACCTAGAAACAGACTAGGATCGAAATACAAAAATTAGAAACCTTTCAAAACAAATGTTTAAGATTTATTTTTAAAATTTTCTGGCCTTACAAAGTATCAAGTCAAAATCTATTAAAGAAAGCTAAAATAAAAACAATAGAAGATAAAACTAAAAAACGAAGATGGAGCTGGCTCGGACATATCCTTAGAATGCCCAAGGGAAAAATTACATGTGCTGCGCTTACATGGGCCCCTGATGGTAAAAGAACAAGAGGAAGACCAAGACTTAACATTCAGTGCATGTTTTTGGGCGAATTAATAGAATGTAGAATATCTGGCCAGGAGGAATTGCTAGAGACAGGAGGCGTTGGAGCGATATGCTAGAGGTCTTAAGCGCCCAAAGGCACGTAGAGGATAAGTAAGTAAATTATCAACATTCTAAACTACTGGGTGTTCAATTTTATGCCCACACCCGCACCTCTAAATAATGGGGGGGGGGGGAAGAAATACCAGTACTTATATTTTTACCTATTTTAAAAATTAAAATAAGCCAATGTCCCTCCTTTCTTCAAAACAGTGGGCAGATGGTTTTGATTGAACACGCTGTAAATAAAGACCAATTGATGATTGGCATTGCTAAGTAAATTTCGTAGGAAAAAAAAGCTTCAAATTATTTTTTTTTCCAGAATAAAAGGCTTTAATTCAAGGTATAATGTATTCAAATTATAAAACAATTTTGTTTGTAATACGAAAATACACCCAAAGTTACTAAAAATAATAGCTTTCACAATCCACGAACAAAATTAAGCACCTTTTATCATTCAGTAATTAAAAACAAATTTTTTGGTGCTTTCTTATCTGTTACTAATGATGGTATTTATAAAGAGAACGTCATACTTAGAAAAGCCTTAAAATTGCATAGTTTTTATTTACACACATTCCAAATTTTGCCAAGATTTCTAATCAAGAAATATTTTTCAGAAGACATAAAAAGTAATTATATTTGATTAGGAAAATGGTGAAAGAAAGTTTACTGGCACTTACATCATTATTTTACACAATAATGATCTTGTATTGAAACAATATATTAAAAAAAATTTTTTTAAAGTCAATTCCTACTAAGGTCAAGAAACAAAAATATTAAATAATTACAATTTTTATCTCATGCAAAACTAAAATTAATTAAATGAATGAATTCATAACTGAAAAAACTGTATTAACATCGAGTGTCATCCAGTAGAAGAAAAATGTATTTGAATAGATGAATAAAAAGTATTTCATGAAGATATAGGGAGAGCGTGCACTAATAGTAGCAGTCTAGGCTTTTTTCGAGAGGTACTTATTTTGTGAAAATTTAGACACAATTTGTAAAAATTAAAAGTTACATTAAAATATCAACACCAAAATACGGCAAAAAATTATATCCAAATTTAAAAATCCATTTTCCATTATTAAATTTCAACTAAAGTTTTTTTCATTATGAGAACATTTTAGACTAGGTCATATAGAAAAAAAAGTTTCACAAAATTTGCATAAAAAAATAAAGGCCTGTTAGAATAAATTTATAATAATGCTAAAATTAATGTTCGAATGTTTGAATTTTGACTTCCTGCATAGTTTGTAGAGAGAGAACCTCGTTTCATTTTAAAAAAACTCTGGGATTTATAAATTTTCATAGGGATACAAAAATAAAATTTTACGAGGCAGAGAATCTTAGAACGTGCTTTTTAAAAAGTATTTTGTGAAACTACCGTCTTTTCTAAAGTTGAATTTGTGAAGGTATCGCTAAACGGTAGTAAATTTGCCCTGGACAGACCTCTGAGTTGGAATAGAGAAACAAATTTTGCTTTGATACACATGGTGACAATTACGTATAGCTACACCCTTTCAAATCTTCCAAAAAGCAAACTAGTGAAAGTTGCTCATTTATCAGTTACACTAAGTGACTAAACACAGGTAACTACAACATTTAGCAGGTGCACACAATTGCACGCGCACACACACAGATATACACACACACACACATATATATTTTTTGACAACATCTGATAAGTACACACAATTCAGGGTTCATACTCTTTCTAAGAAAGTAAATTTCAGGAGTTTCTAAGGAGTTTTTCAGGAGTACAATACAATAAATTCAGGAGGTGCGAGGGAAAATTATATACTTTGTATAATTTTAATATAGCTATTTATAAAATTAAATTTACAACATTACAAAAAAAACCACAAAATAGTAAATTAATTAAAAAAGGATCTTAAAATATTATTTATTTTAAACACTTTTTAAAGACATATATGTCTTATTCAGTTCTTCACATATTTTAAGCTTAGATATTTTTTCTTTAGCATGACGCCTTAAGGCATTAGCTTTTGAAATTAATGAGAGATCACATTTTTTTCTGCCTGATCAGAATAATCATCAGAAGTTTTATTAAGTTCTTGTATATCATCCTCCAAATGTTTCTTTTTTCACCCTTAGNTAAAAAGAAAATTTGCATTTTCACAAGATTTGTAGGAATAATGTGAGCTTAACACCTTAAAAGTCCATAAAATTTCAGCCTTTGTAGTGAGGCTATTCAAATGAATTGCTCGATTCAAATTATAAACCGGCACAGTAACAACACTTAGCAGGCAATCTTTATACAGTTCATTTGCTAGCCAGGGACAAAAGAGATGGGAAGACGGAAGGGATGATTAATTATTTTCTCCGTATAAGAATCGTTTTTTATTTTTGTAAAAAATTTTTCAGGAGATAAAACTTAATTTTCAGGAGTTAAAACACCAATTTCAGGAGTTATAAGGGCCCTTAGAAAAAAAAAGCTAATTTCAGGAGTTTTTCAGGAATTTCAGGAGGAGTATGAACCCTGACAATTCTAGATGAGAGCTACAGAGAATGTATGTTTCTCCTATTTGTGTTTGCATCCAGTTATGGGAGTGTATTTTGTGGAGAAGGTACATAATGGTTTATTCATAGGAGATTCAGGGGGAATTAAAAATATATCTGTAATAAAAGCTTCATAGGAGTGTTCATAACAGGAGGTTACACTTTGCGTGTGTGCATATTACACACATATATAAATAGCAATGATTTTTTTTTCAAGAAGTATTTTTGAAACATAAATTAGAAAAATGACATTTGAAAACCAACTAACTGAACAATAAAAGCTTCAACATGTTAACATAATGCATTAAAAAACAAGACATGCTTACATTTTCAATATCTTCATCCCCACTGACTTCATCGAATTCGATAATGTTGTCATCTTCCTCCTCTTCTCCAAAGTTAACTGTGTCATTGATTTTAGCTGCACAAGAATTATTATACATTTCATTAAATAAAATAAAGGTAAATATAGCAATAGTACTCATTTTTCAATCCTATTTTTTTGTTGGTAATTTTTTTTAAATAAAAGTTTAAAATCATTTCCAAAAGCAGTAAATTCACAATGTAAAATAATTGAAAGCACTCTGCAATTAATGGTTCTGGGCTTAAGTAGGTAAAGGCTTCAATTATTATATGATGCAAGTAAATTAAATTTGTTAATGCAGGTTAATTGCAGATGGAAAACTTACAGAAATCTGTGTGTAAAATATTTTTTTTCTTAAAAACATTTTAACATTAAATTGAACGTGAATTGTAACACAAACTAAAAAATAAAATTACAGTAAAAAACAGTCAGAATCTATTTTCTAAACTTTATAGAATGCAATATAAAGAGTTTACTTTAAAAACTTCTTTGGATTAAGTAATAAATAGATGAGTTCTCAGATTTACTTTTTAGAATGCCCTTTTACAAGTAAGTATGTCTAAGAAAGTACTAGTAGTACCTCTCACAGTGATTTTCTTAAAAGTCTTATTTTATTGATATTAAAAGTTTTTATCTATAGTAACAATGAAAGAACATATACAAACTTATATTTGATGTTCAAAGTTTTTTTTTTTAACGGAACTAAATATGTAAAAAAAAAAATAAAAAAAACTTTTAAATTATAATTTCCTATTAGCTGTAAGTGATATAATTTTCGGTTTCATAAACACATTTTGATTCTTGAATAATTGATTTGTTAAGAATAATTGATTTTTTAAAAATATTATTTTATGTCTAACTGACAAATTGGATCTTTGCCTTGATATAAATACATAAGAGGATATTTCGATTGTACAAAAGTAACTGATATTATAATTTCAGCCATTAATTTGTAATAATTACATAATTATTTTAACAATTTTAATAAGAAATATTTTTTATATAGTATATTTAAATTAGAAATATTATATTTTAGTTACAAAAGGGTTTTTAAATCATATTCAGCAATATTAATGTATTATATCAGAACATTGATTGATAAAAAATATATATATAAATATTTTAAAACAAAAAATAAACTTGAAAAAAAAGGGGGATTTATTTGACTTCAGAAAATATGACATTTGCCATCTCTGTGAGCAATACATTTAGTTCTTTTTATGCAAAATTCCAGTGGCAGAATTGCAGCGACATGGCGACATTATCAGAGAACTGACCTTTTGAAGGTTTTACTTTTCATTTCTATAGAAATTTACACGCAATATTTGAACATTTAGATAATTTTTGACATGCTCAATTTATGTCGATAATATCGTAAGCCACTGTAATGCTTTGATTGTATTTTTGGCAGTTATTGATATCGATTTCCACGACATTTTTAAATATCTCTATATATATTTCAAATAATATGGAAAATTTGATCGTGCATTTGAGTATTTACTTTTTAAGGCAATAATTCGATCACATTTTTTATGAGTTATTGATTGCTATTGATCTCTCAATAGTTTTTAAATCAATCCGATATTAAAAAATTATACATAGTTTTTTTTTCCCCTTTTGCAAACACAGCGATTTTGTTATCATTAAAAGTATCTCATAGAAAGATATTAGTGCTAGAGAGTTTTGTCGCAGATAGCTTGAAAAAATTCTGCTACAGGGAGTAAAACAAATAAATGAGAAACAGTGTTTTGTGGCAAATCTTTCATTCTTGAGGGAAATTTGCCACTCTCTGAATATTAAAAGGCTCTTACCATATTCGGGTAATTCCCCGTAAGTTTTAAGATTTCTGGCTTCATCTGGATTGTATTTGAGAATGACATCTGCTTTAGCATCTTGATAGTCTCTCAGACCAACCAAAATAATGTCACCTTGATTAATCCAAACCTGCAAAATTTATTAATCAAACATAAATGACAAGTTGAGACAATTAAAAAATATACAAGTCAAAAAAAATAATTAATAACTAGTTTTACAAAACACAATTTGAACAAAAATTAAAACAATAAAGAACGAAAGCCAATATCAATGCTCTTTAGCACAAATAAAATTGTTTCAAATAAAAAATTTATCCACTTTTTGCAATGGAGCAGAAACAAGCATGGACTACTAAAGATTGGAAGCTCCTTTGGGAATGATTTTTGGTTGTTTAATCGTCCATTTGAATAACTAAGCTTAAGACAGATTTTTTAGTGCTAATCACACTATAGTATCGAAATTTTGTTTTAGCTAAATTGATACAATATTAGAAAGCACTCCTTTTTGCAGATATAATCGTGTAAGCTGATGAAGAGGTTATATCTGATCTCCCGGTTTTTAATTGAATTTTTTTTAAAAATTACTTTTTTCTCTTATAATTATTCTGTATCTTTTTCCATGTTTTCACAACATTTTGAACTATAAATATATATAAACACACACACATTACAGAGAAAAAAATGGTAGTAAAGACTAAAGAAAGATTTCATATAAAAGAGAAAACAAATACAGTCAGACCTCGAGGTAAGGTCACCCTAAGGGACATTGCAAAAGTGACTTTATAAGTGGGGTGACCTTTTAACCGATTCATTAGCAGTTCGCAACAAGCACTTAAATAGTACACATTATGATTTTTTAAAATTGGTAACACAAACGGAAACAATCAGCCACAAATTAAATATTTAAGTCAATAAAGTTTGACAGAATTAGTAGAGAATTGAAGAAAGTTAGATTTTTAAATTTAAAATAAAGCTGTTTGCAAATTTCCTCAAAATGTACATACATACATCACATCTTAACTTATTTAAAATAATCATTTATGCAGGTCTGCCTCGTTTTTGGTTTCACTTTTCGAACAATATTTTCTAGATTTTGTAACTTCTTAAAATGTTCCTCAGCTCCCTCATGGCTTGTAAAAAAATTTCCTATAACATTTATTGCATTGAAGGCTTCCGCTTGGGTTACAACTACAGTCTCAAGATCACTGTCATTGTCCCTACTGTCCACAACTTGTGAAACAATATCAGAAATTGTAGCTTGTTTGTTGGCTGCAACATTTTCCTAGAACTCAAGAGGGGTAATTGTCTTGTAAGGAAGTCAAATAGGCTTTTGTTAGAAAAGAGCTCCCCTCGCCTCAGATAAAAATGATCTTATAAACGATAACAATTTTTATAATTTGACCATATATCCGATAATCTGTGGGTCATTCCATGTCAAATCATACAGGATTTTACAAAAATGGCACCCACAGTCTCAGATTTTGATGAAAATTTGTACACTTATAGAATTTTTTGTGCTGATTTCAAAAATATCAATTATATTTAAATCGGTTGAGGGGTTTAAAAGTTATAAGCATTTGTATTTTTGCCAAAATGGCACATTTGCCGCCATTTTGATTCATACATCAAAGGCTATTGATGATTGTAACTCACCTTATATTTGTCATAGAGCAATAATTTTTTTTTATTTTGTTCAGAATAAAGTAATCTGCCATATAAACACTTTTTTTTGCAAATAAGTATCTTACTTATTTAGTAAATGGGTGTTTTGCAGTTTTTTGATCAACGGAGTTGAGTAACTTCAGGAGATTATTTCTGGCTTCAATTTCAAAAATATTTTATTCAGAGATAGTTGAAAGTGCAAACTAACATCTGAAAAAATTTTGATGGGCCGTTTACTCACTTTAAAAAAAAAAAAAATTTCTTATGAATCATTATGTGCTAAAAGTACTCGTAGTTTGATGATTTATAGTCCTTAATTATAACTAGAGTATAATAAAATGATATAAAAAAATTTGAATGGTAGAAAAATATGTAAAATAAAGTAATCATTTATTAAATTATTTTTGTTCCTCTTTCTTTGAGCCCTCAAAAAAGAAAAGAAAGACAAAATTTTAGAATGAACAAAATTTCACCTTTTTTGCAAATAAATTTATCCAGAATCATATAGCTTTGGGAAATGAGAGGGATCAGAATCTAAAAAAAATATAAATAAAAGTTTCTCTGAAAGAGTANGCTCTACTATAAAAATAAAATTCAAGTACTTTTTAAGACTTATTATAAAATTCTCAAGGACTTAAATTTGAGTTAAAGATAGACTAAAATCTGACATTTTAAACTAAAATGTTTTGACGATAATAGCAGTACTGAAAAATAAGACTTCCATTGCTCNAAAAAAAAAAAAAAAAAAAAAAAAAAAAAAAAAAAAAAAAAAAAAAAACAAGGGTGATTGGCATCAAGTCCAGAATAAAATTCATGATGCATAAAAACGTCAGGTTTGAAATCTTTTTAAACCATTATTTATAATTACTTAAAACTATTAACATGCATCATACTGCAGTACTGGCAATAGCCCCATCTGTAGAGGAATAAGAGAAATATTTATGCCATCAGCCAATATTTTATTGCCAATTTTTAAAAAAAAAATATTTCTTCAACAAATATGGTGAAATTTGAGAATAAACAGGTAAACAGGAGATAGCCGTAAAATCAGAGTTCGCCAAGTGGGCCCTTGAAAAAACCCACTTGGTGGGTTTTTTCACAAATTGGCTGAAAAAGAAGTATATCCTAATACTATCATTGGACACATCGTGGAAGTTAACAAACATTTTAGAAATGTGCATCAAGCACATGAATGGGTAAATGAAAAAAACTGCTTGATGCTCCAATTACCAAATGATATTGCAAAATGAATCTAATAACAATATGTCAAAAATAATAAATAATGTTGGGTTTTACCAATAAACTATCAATTTGGAAAAACAGATATCAATTGTTTCTGAAGCTTTAAGAACAAAAAATGATGAACAAAAGCAATTAGCAGAAAACTGTCTCTAAGCACCATCCAGAATTTCTGCCAGGTGTTATGGCATTCAAAATTTCTGATCCTGAATACTTTCCAAAATCAATGATACTTGATACTGTTATTCAATAGTTTTCATTAAAAAATAGCAGAAAATTATGGCAAAAAAAAAAAAAAAAAAAATCAAGCTTCCACAAAATTTCTGCCACTTCTTTTTTCTTTTCACTCGGCACCAGCAACTTTCGGTTTGGTGTGGAGTAAACTACGAAATAGATTAGGAATAGATAAAGCTACAAAACTCGTAAAAGTGTATCACCATCTAAGAGAGAAATGTACACACTCTAAATCTGCTGTATGATAATAATACATAAAAAAAATAGACCCTTTTTTAAGTTAAGTCTTAACATCTGCTGACAATTTGTAACTATTTGGAGAAAGTTTATCACCATTAAAAAAGTTAAATTAAAATATTACTTAAGATTTCTAAAATATTATTTTTAAGATTTCTTTCGAATATAATTTATTTTGTTTCTTTTAATCATGTTTAAAAAAGAAAACAAACAAATTTTCTTTTCTATTAAGTGATACATTAAACAATTAACAAATTTAAAGTTTTATTTTCTGGTTTTAAAAAAAATAAGTTGAAACTTTTTATAAATGTTTTTTATTGTTTTAAGATTAATTTGTTTTTTGAAATTATAAAGTTAATATTTATTTAAAAGTGCAGTCATTTTTCTAAGGATAAATATTTGAAAAATGGGTGGGACAAGTAACAGATATTCTTTATAATTATACATAATTTTAATTTCGCTTTCTATTAATCATATTATAAAAACATGGAAGACCATTAAATATTTATTGCAGTTTAATTTTATTTAAGGTAAAAGTCAGATGACATTTTAGTTTTTACTGATTATAAATATTTATTGATTATAAATTTGTAATAAGTAATATATATATGCTTAAATATAGTAAATAGAGGTGTGGGAAAACAAAAAGATTAATAAACTTGTTCCTTTAATATTACTGTTGCATTTATATTTTATAGGGCTTCAGATAAAAATTGTGAAACGCCATGTATTTAACAATAAAGATTCAAACACATATTAGTGATAGTGCATTATTTAAACTTATTTTAATTTTATTATACAGTACAGAACCAGTTAACCGGAAATCAGAAAACGGGAACGAAATTCAATAAATTCTCCCGCAATTTAAAAAAAAAAAATTTGTTTTCCTCATAAGATTTTAGGATCTTTCTTTCTTTTTTGAAAGAATTAACCATACCATCATTTTAGAAATAATCATTACTGTATTACGTAATCGTTTTTTTATTTTTTTAGTTGAGTTTAACAATAAAAAACTGCTTTTTGCAGCGATTCAGAAAACTGGAAAAATCAGTTATCCGGAATAGCGATGGCCCCGATCGCTCCGCATAATCGGTTCCCTATTGTATATATTTTTTAAATAAACTTTTTGGATTTATTTATATTTTTAAGCTTATACAACACTATTTANAAATGAAAAAACCCTTTTTTTCCCGGGTTTTTTCAAACCCTGAGTAAAATACAGGAGCCTTCGATCAAAAACAGGAAACTTGGCGGGTATGCATAGGCCATATTGTCTCACATAACTCACCTACGAACCATTAAGAACTAACGATCCCGAGTAGCCATCTGTTGATCACACACATATATACATAACATAAAAAGCTTCAATTAATCTTTTAATGTCATTCCTTTTCTGTAAATCCCTTATTTAGTTTATTATTCAATACGAAACATTTTCTCACACTTTTAAATTCACATCCTGTCCTTTAATCTATTTTTGGTTCAAGTACGCATTCATTAAAAGTAAGACATTTTCCCCTTTGCTCTTTGTAGGAATCGTGCGACCATTTTAATTAACTAATTACAATTACTAAGATTTCCCTTATTCCCTAAAACGAGACATTTAACAGACTTTCTTTGCAAGATTTTCCCTAACTTTTATGGAGCAGCACGAACAAATATAATACAACATTCAATAAAAATTACCTTCTTTCGCAACTTTCCACGAATGTGACAGAGTCTCTTAACACCATCGAAGCACATTGCTTCCAAACGTCCATTACCCAGCATTTTTAGAACTTGGGCATATTCTAAACAAAAATACATGGATTAGAATTCTTTTAACTGCATAAAAGTAAGTCATAGTCTTCAATGATATATCAGCAGGGCAATTCCATAAAAAGAAAAGTAAAACAGGGTAGGTAAAAATTTTTCTTCAAATAAAATTGAAAAATTATTTTTTATCATTATTATATCACTTTTTAGCTATAAGTACAAAAAAAAACTTAACCTGGAAGAATTTTTTTTTTGCAACTGGTCAAGATTTACTAAAAATTTATGTATTTCAATGCCTATTTTCAAATACCAATTCATATAGTAATTTTGATTGCTTAGTTAAAACATTATCCATAATAGCAGCAAGTATCAGCTAATACTAAAAAAAATAATACGCACTACTGTGATAAAAAGGGTAAATTTAATTGTCAGGGGTCTGTCTAGGTTTTTCTGAGAAATACCTATTTTGTGAAAATTTAGACATAATTTGTGAAAAATTAAAAATTATATTAAAAAATCAACACAAAAATATGGATTTATAGTTTCTTAAGGGATACAAAAATAAAATTTTAAGAAAAAGTATTTTGTGAAACTACCGTTTTTCCTAAAGTTGAATTCGGGAAGGTACCGCTAAACATTAGTAAATTCGGCCTCGACAGATCCCTCATTGTTCTTTGAAACAAAGAGTAACCAAAATTTATGAAAGTCTATCCTAAATTAGAAATACAGTCAGCAACAGTCTCTGCTCCACAGTAAAAGGGGCGATAAATAAACAGTTACTCTACTAAATAAAACAAAACGTACATTCAGGGGTCTGTCTAGGTTTTTCTGTGAGGTACCTATTTTGTGAAAATTTAAGACATAATTTGTGAAAATTAAAAATTTAAAAAAATCAGCACAAAAATGTGGTAAAAATATGGATTATCGTCTCTTACAGGATAAAAAAATAAAATTTTAAGAAAAATTATTTCGTCAAACTACAGTTTTTCCTAAAGTTGAATTTGTGAAGGTACCGCTAAACTAGGGGTGCACAACCTGCGGCCCCTCGACTACTGAAGTGCGCCCCGCGAGAGCTTCTAAACACAATAATATATTTTTTTTCAAATGGAAATTTTTAATCGGACGTTTTACACAATCAATTCTAACAGATTCTTTAGTAAATGTACGTTTAATGCGCTTTCTTTAAACCAATTTTATCGTAAATATATATATAAAAAAAAAAAAAAAAAACAGTTGTTTCAACTTTTCTGCATGATTTCGACAATCCCGAACTTTTATTACGATGCAAGTTTCAGATTGCCCATTTAAATAATCACTTTTTGGTGCACTTTATTTGTGACGATTTCATCTTAAATCTAAGTGATTTTTTATCTTTTTGTTTTGCAATTCTTTATTCCAAAAAATTTTTTCGGCAGCTATTGCTATGCGTTCCCACATATTATAAAAAATTCCAATTATTCTATTACGACATGCACATTTTAAATCGTACATTTGACACGCTTTATTCGTGCCGAGTTCAGCATAAATATAAGTAATTTTTCCCCAAATTATTTCGATACTTTTCCACATGATTTTAACGATCCCGTTATTTAACTATGATGTTATTACGACATGTGATTGTTAATCGCGTACATAAATAATCACTTTTTGATACAGTATTTCGATACAGTTTTATTGTCAATCCTAGTTATTTTTTCTTCGTTTTTTTCCGCAACGGATATGATTTGGTCGAATGTGGTAATGAATTGTGATTTGATCAAAAACCAAATATTCGCCAAAAAAAAAGGATAAAAAAAAAGGATCACAATTTGCCAAATAGCAAAATCTTTTAGCAGCATAGCAACACTAAAACGAAAATTTCAATGCTCAGAATAATATTTCCTGGAGAAACGTATACGTAAATTAACTCTAAAAAATAAGGGCAATCAGGAACGTTTTTTAAAAGGTCGAAAAACGAAACAGAAAACATAAAAATCAATCTTAATTTTTGAATGAAAATTTTAAAGCTGAACATTTCAGTTTTCCAATTACCAGAAAAAGCCAAGAAAAAAGAATTAAGTCAACAGAAATGCTATTAAAAATTACTGCATTATAATAAAAAGGTCTAAAGAAAGTTTTTTTTTATTTAAAGAAAATAAAAAGTTAGAAAAAACGTTCTTAATTTTTTTTAAATGAAAATCTTATGCTGAAAATCTCAATTTAAATTTTTCTCATTGCCATAATTTTAGAAGAAAAAAAAATTGCTATAAAATAAATTTTATTAGTAACCTTATTTTCTAAAAAAATGCTGAGTCATAATAAAAATGTCCAATAAAGGAAAAACAGAAATTTTTTTTTTTCTAGTTTCTGAAACAAAACTTTAACACTGAAAACCACACTTTTCTATGTTACTTGTTATTTATATTAGAGTACAGGGAAAGAGTGATAATAAATTAATAGTATGAGACGTTCTGTTAAAATGCTAGGTTGTCATAAAAACAGCAAAAAATGGAAAAAAAATCCCTTTTCAATTCTCAAAATATCGAAAAAATGACAAAATTGACGTGTCTGATTAAATATATATATTTTTTATAGTAATATCTATAAAAACTTAGAAAAATACATTTCCAGAAAATATTCTGCGGAATATTTGACTGATCATTCAACCAACTGAATTTTTCACAGAAGGGCCAAATACTCGTAGAACGCTAGTGTTTAAATAAACATTACTACATTTGTCATTAACATGTCTAAACATGTGCGGCCCTTCGTTAGCCAACCTGCTGTGCAAGTGGCCCTTCACTCAAAAAGGTTGTGCACCCCTATGCTAAACGGTAGTAAATTTGACATGGACAGACCCCTGACATTAAACATACACACTATTAAAGACAGGGCTCGAAATTAACGGTGGTCCGTGACCACTAAAAACGGAGTCGGACCAGCATAAAATAATAAACAGTGGTCCATCGCAGCCGATCTCCGTTAAAAAAATTTTTTTTAAAAAAAAGCTAGCGTGCGAGATCTCTGTAAAAAAAATAAAAATAAAAATTAAAAAAATAAATAAAGCTAGCGCACANTGTTACTGGTTATTTATATTACAGTACAGGGAAAGAGTGATAATAAATTAATAGTATGAGACGTTCTGTTAAAATGCTGGGTTGTCATAAAAACAGCAAAAAATGGAAAAAAATCCCTTTTCAATTCTCAAAATATCGAAAAAATGACAAAATTGACGTGTCTGATTAAATATATATATTTTTTAAAGTAATATCTATAAAAACTTAGAAAAATACATTTCCAGAAAATATTCTGCCGAATATTTGACTGATCATTCAACCAACTGAATTTTTCACAGAAGGGCCAAATACTCGTAGAACGCTAGTGTTTAAATAAACATTACTACATTTATCATTAACATGTCTAAACATGTGCGGCCCTTCGTTAGCCAACGTGCTGTGCAAGTGGCCCTTCACTCAAAAAGGTTGTGCACCCCTATGCTAAACGGTAGTAAATTTGACATGGACAGACCCCTGACATTAAACATACACACTATTAAAGACAGGGCTCGAAATTAACGGTGGTCCGTGACCACTAAAAACGGAGTCGGACCAGCATAAAATAATAAACAGTGGTCCATCGCAGCCGATCTCCGTTAAAAAAATTTTTTTTAAAAAAAAGCTAGCGTGCGAGATCTCTGTAAAAAAAATAAAAATAAAAATTAAAAAAATAAATAAAGCTAGCGCACAATCCTGAGGAAGGCGAAGTTAAATCTTGTTTCACGCATGCGTCACATGGAGAGTCGCTGAAGGAGAGAAATAGGGGAGGTAGCGGGGTGGGTTCATGACGTGCACCGTCCGCCGCAGCCGATTTCTGTAAAAAAAGGAGGCAAGCGCGTGTGAGGAAGGCGAAGTTAAATCTTGTTTTGCACATGCGTTACATCGGCGCTGTTAAAATATTCTTTTCTAATTAATCTTAGTAAGTAGTATAATTAATCTTATGTCCTTAAATTCTAAGTATATTTATGCAACTTGCGTTTTTGAGTTACTTAAAACTATTTTAGAGCTTATTCACAATCAAAAATTTATGATTTTTTAAAAAAAAAATCATGATTTTTTCAATCAAAAATTTAAAAATTTTTTTTTTCATTTGCAGCTAATAGGAACGCGTAGACGGACCAGTAAAGTTTTGTGCGGACTAGTAAAATGTTTTAGTTACTGGTCCTAAGGACCAGTAATTTTTTTAAAAAATTTCTACCCCTGAAAGAGCAGATATTCAATTCATAATTAAAAATGGCTCAAATAATAACATATATATTTCAAAATTCTGTATAAAACTAAAATAAAAAATAGCTGTAAATATAGTTTACTACTATTTTTATTATTACTATAAAATAGTAATAATTAGGGCCCTATAAATAAAGCAGAAATTTTTTAAAAATTATGCGGCGATTTTAAAAAATTATGCGACAAGGATGCGGTGCCTTTTAAAAATTATGCATGCAGGCTGCAAATGACCCAGAAAACAATTGCAACTGAAAAAAAAAATCTCTTCTTTCCTGTTTTAATAAAATTTTTTTTTTCAATGAATAGAGTAAAGATTTCAACTAAATTATCTTCTTATGTATTGTACATCCATTTTCTACATCAGAACAATTATTAAAGTTTATTAAAATGGAGAGAAGTTAGTTCAGAAGCTGCGTTTTCTTTCAAACTGTCTTTGTTTTGTAAAAATTTGGCCGTAGCAGGATACAGCTCTTTCACAATCTACTGAATTAGGAATCACTGAGAGCACTTCCCTTGCTTTTTTTGTAAGTCCTGGAAATCTCTCTGAGACTACCTCTGAATTCCAGAATCTTATTAAGTCCTGGTTTGAAAATTCTTTTAGTTATTCTTTGTAAGCAACATACTCGAGTTTTATATCTTGACCACTCATTCCTGGAATATTCTTGAATACATAGTCGTCTTCAATATTGAGGTTGACTATTTAATCTGGATAGAAAACTCGAGCAGCTTTCACGAAGTTTAATGCAGGTTGACTAAGCTTGGGCCCGCATTTTTTGAATACGTCTAGTTCTGGAGAGCAGTAAGTATTAAACTTTGCAATTGTTTTGTGAAACACTTCTTGAAGAAATACGTTGCGTGAATCTTTTCGTGATATGATGCCTGAGAATTACATCGAAGTTTAGACCACAGATCAAAAATCTTATTGTAAGCTTTGTGAATAGATACACCACATGCTTCGAAAAAGAGAAGAGTATCCATTAATATATGAGCGTGTTCTGCAATGAACTGAAAGTCTTTGCAAACGTACTTGCTTTCCACCAAAACTTTGCACTGATTGAGACAAGCAGTGTCAGGAGTAAGGTTTATTTCACTGCTAAAATTTTTTATGTAAACATTACAATATTCAGCATGATATTGCACTGATTTAAACCAGGAATTCCACCCTGTCTTTATTGGTACTGGACAAAGTTTAGCTTTCTTAGTGTCATTTGTTAAAAACTTTAAATAGCGGCGACCTGTGAATTTGTCCACCTCTGAAAAATGGTCTCCCAAGAAGAATTTTATCTGGTAAACGAATACATTTTGCTGAAAAATAAAAATTATACAGATATGCTGCGATTACGCGGAAAATTGTAAATTATGGGGATAATTGTGAATTATGAGGGTTTCCGTATCTTTGCATAATTTATAGGGCCCTAGTAGTAATAACAGTTTTTTTAAACCTAAAAAACTTTGATACAATAACAAATTTAGGATGTTTTTACTATACCTTTTGCTTCTAAGCAATTCAATTGGTTATTTTTAGTTTCTTCAAGTGTCTCAGAAGAAAAAAGGTTTCTTCCAGACTTGTACATACAAATATTTCAAAGTGTTGTTTAAAAGAAAGATAATACTGACCTTGACCATCTTCTTTAAATACCAGTTCTCTCTTTTCTGCTTCATTCTCATTCTTACCACGTCTCCTGTTCTTACCTCCCTTTCCTATAAACAAAATACATACTTATTAATCTTTCCTTTGCTACCATTTCTATCACTAAACACAGCATAAATATACCTAGGAATTTTTTTCATTACCTAGGATTTCTCTTAAGAGGAATGTGGGCAGGGTTCGCCAAGTGGGCCCACTTTGAAAAAACCTGCCCGGGTTTTATTGGGCGGGCCCACCTTGAAAAAACCCACATGGAACGATAAGTGGGTTTTTTCAACAAAAAAAATTCATTAAAACTTAGCAATGCACATTTACAGGGGCCCCCATCAGGGGGGAAGGTGGGCGCACGATGCGCCCACTTAAAGCTTGGGGGGGGGGG